CAGTCTATTGTTTCTATGCTATAAATCTGTACAACATATTACTATACTGAATACTATAAGCAATGAACTGTAACACGATGGTAAGTAGCTGTATGTCTAAAAGTATCTAAACATAGAAAAGATAGAGTAAAAATACAAATTAAAAAATTCTGTACTTACATAGGCTGCTTACCATGAAGGGAGCTTTCAGGACTGGGACATGACCTGGGTGAGTCAGTGAGTGAGTGAATGTGAAGGCCTAGGACGTTACTGTGCACAGTTGCAGATTTTATACACACTGTGTATAAAGAAAAATTTTCTTTCTTCAATAATAAATTAACCTCAGCTTACTGTAACTTTTTCACTTTGTAAACGGTTTTTGTTTTTTAAATTTCACGTTAATGTGAGGGTATAAACAACCAGGTGACAATATTTGAATTTGTTAGGTAGAGTCCCTCTTGTAGTTGTGTCCTGCCCCAGAAAGTCCAAACGTTCTTCCTCTTCTCTTCACCTTCCTTTGTTCCCCTTCCCCCAACTTGAATTGAAATGAGTTTTATCTGATGTGACTGTGAGTAAGATCATCCATTAGCTTCATATTAGTGTTGAGTACATTGGATGTTTGCTTTTCCATTCTTGTGATACTTTACTAAGAATGTATTTCACCTCCACCCAGGTTAATTCAAAAGATATAAAGTCACCATCTTCTCTTATGGCTGAATAGTATTCCATGATGTATATATATACATACCACAGTTTGTTAATCCATTCCCGAGTTGATGGGCCTTTAGGCTATTTCCACATCTTGGGAATTGTAAGTCGAGCTGCAGTAAACAATCTAGTGCAAATGTCGTTATGATAAAATGATTTTTTATCTTCTGGGTAGATGCCTAGTAGTGGAATTATGAGGTCAAATGGTAGTTCTAACTTGAATTCTTTGAGGATTCTCCATACTTCTTAACAAAGAGGCTGTGCTGTATAAGTTTGCAGTCTCAGTGACAATGTAAAAGTATTTACCTTTTTCTACGTCCATGCCAACATCTACACCTTTGGAACTTTGTAATGTGGGCTAATCTTACTGGGGTTCATTAATATCTCAGGTTGGTTTTGATTTGCATTTCTCTGAGGATTAGGGATGATGAGCATTTTTTTCAAATGTTTGTTAGCCATTTGTCTAACAGAGAAGGTTCTGTTCATGTCGCTTACTCAGTAATAGACGGGATTGTTTGCTCTTTTTTTATTGATTAATTTGAGTTCTCTGTCCTAGTTATCAGGATCCTAGGATAACTGATAACTAGGATCCTAGGATCCTAGTTTGATCCTAGTTATCGAACCTTTATCAGATTTATAACATTAAAATATCTTTTCCAATTCTGAAGGTTGTCTGTTTGCTTTGGTTGTTGTGCCCTTAGCTTTGTAGGAGCTTTTTAGTTTAAGTAAGTCTCATTTGTTTGAATTTGTTGTTTCTGCCACTGAAGTCTGCTTCATAAAATTTTTCCCCAGGCCAACACTTTCAAGAGTTTTTCTGCACTTCTAGGATTTTTATTGTTTCATGCCTTAGATTTACATATTTTATCTACCTTGAATTAATTTTTGTCAGTGGTGAAAGGTCCAGTTTCTACATGTGGTTATCCCGTTCTTGCAGCATTATTTATTGAATAGGGATTCTTTTCCCCAGTGTAAACTTTTGTTTGGTTTATCAAAGATCAGATTGGTTTTTTGGTTCCAAATGTCTCTTTTTGTGCCAGCGCCATGCTGTTTTGATAACTGTGGACTTATAGCCTACAGACTGGTAAAGTGATGACTCCAGCTTTGTTTTTACTACTAAAAATTGCTTTGGCTGTACAGGTTTTTTTCTGGTTCCATACGAAATCAAGAACTATTTTTTTCTAGTTCTTCAAAGTATGATGTTGGTATTTCAATGGCGATTGCGTTGATTTCTTGGGTAGAATAGACATTTTAACAATGTTGATTCTTCCAACCAAGAGCATGGTATGTTCTTCCATTTGTTAATATCTTCCTATTTCTTTTCTTATGGTTTCGTAATTCTCTTTGTAGGAGTCCTTTGCCTCTTTGTTAGGTATATTCCTAGATATTTAATTTTCTTTGATGCTCCTGTTAAGAGAATTATGTCTTTAATTAGCTTCTCAACTTTGGCTGCTATTGATGTATACAAAGGCTACTAATTTGTGGATACCAATTTATACCATGAGACATTACTGTGTTTCTTGATTAATTCCAGGAGTTTTGTTGTTTAGTCTCTGGGATTCTCTAAGTATTAAGATCATAACATGGGCAAAGAGCAAGAGTTTGACCTCGTCTGCCCTATTTGGATGCCCTTTATATTGTTCTCTTGACATTGCATTGACTGGAACTTCCAGCACTATTTTTAATAGTAGTGGCAATAGAGGATATCATTGTCAGGTTCCCGTTGTAAGTGGAAGAGCTTCTGTTTAGATGATGTGTCTAGTTCAACCAGAGGGGTGTTAAAGTTCCCAGTTATTATGATGTTATAGAATATCATATTCCTTAGATTAATCCATGTCTATTTCATAAATCTGGGAACATTTAAGTTGGGTGCCTACATATTTAGAATCGTCTTCTTGCTGTATTGTTCCCTTGAGTGAAGTGACCATCTTTGTTTTTAGTTTCTTTAAATTTACTTGTATCTGAAAATAAGATTGCGACCCACCCTTTTTTCTGATTTCCATTTGCCTGACATACTGTTTTCCATCCCTTTACCTTGAGTCTTGAGTTGTCCGTCAAGGTTAGGAGTGTTCCTCGAGACAACATATACCAGTTGGCCAGTCTGTGCCTCTTCCATGGGGAATTCAAGTCATTAATATTTATTGAGAGAATCAGTAAGTGTTGTGGAGTTCTGTTTACCTTATTTTGTGAAAAACATTGCTTAGTTTTATCCTTTGTGCCATTGTGGAAACAAAATTTTGTCCTTTAATTTCTGGGTGTTTAGTTTGCTGGTGGTCCATAGTGATTACCAGTGTGGAGAATAGGTCTAAGTATTTCCTCTAGAGCTGGTCTTGTGACAGATTTTCTCAATATTTGCATATCAGTAAAAATTTTGATTTCTCCATTGATTTTGAAGCTTAGCAGGATACAGATTTGTTGACTGACACGTTGTTTTGTTTAAGAAGGTTAAAGGTAGATGATTACTTTCTTCTGGCGTGGAAAGTTTTCAGGTGAAAAGTCCACTATCCCCCTTATGGATCTGCCCTGGTAGATCAGTTGGTGCTTGCTTCTGGCTGCTTGAAGAGTTTTCTCTTTTGTCTTGACTTTGGACAGGTCATGACAATGTGTCTTAAAGATGCTGTATTTTGCTGTATTTGTGTTGAGATGACCCAGGGTTCGATATCCATCTAAAAGGGGGAGTGTATTGGAATCTTTAGTGAAATTTGGGGAATTTTCATTATGGTATCTTTCAGTAATGCTTCCCTTCCTTTGGGACATTCTTTTTCCCCTTCAGGGATCCCTATAATTCATATGTTTGTACACTTCAGGAAGTCCCATAATTCTCGAAGCTAATGTTCTGCTTTCTCTCTCTTCTTTTCTGCCTCTTCAACTACCTGGGTTCGCTCAAGAACTTTATCCTCTAGCTCTTGAGATTCTTTCTTCTCCATGGTGTAATCTATTTTTGATACTTTCTACTGCATCTTCAAGTTCCCTGCTTGACTTCAATTTCTTAAGCCATATCCTTTCTATATTCTTTTTTTTTTTTGAGACAGAGCCTCAAGCTGTCCCTCTGGGTAGAGTGCTGTGGCATCACAGCTCACAGCAACCTCCAACTCCTGGGCTCAAGCAAGTCTCCTGCCTCCGCCTCCCAAGTAGCTGGGACTACAGGCGCCCGCCACAATGCCTGGCTCTTTTTTGGTTGCTGCCATCACTGTTGTTTGGTGGGCCTGGGCTGGATTCGAACCCACCACCTTAGGTGTATGTGACTGGTGCCTTAGCTACTTGAGCCACAGGCGCCGAGCCTCCTTTCTATATTCTTTATATATTTCACCCAGTTTTTCTTTAGAAAACTGGAGTAGAACCAGTTTTTGGTTCTATTTTTCCTCTTTTGCATCAATTCCCTTTATTATTTTTGCTATCCATATTTTAAATTCACTTTCTGTCATTTCCAAAAATTCTTTAGAGGTGGAATCCTCTGTGGTAGCTGCTTCCTGGTCCCTTGGAGGAGTTACTCTGTTTTGGTTTATCACGTTGCCAGAATTTTTCTGTTGGTTTCTCTGCATGTGTATTTTCCTCTTGTTCACTACTGAGCCCTCATCATCCAAAAGGATAATTGTCCCTTCATCCACACCCTCACAACTTTGGAGTTCTTCCTTTGCTTATCTTATTTTCATAAATGAACAGGCTCAGAGAGAGGAGCCATGTCTTAGACACCCTGCTGAGTGATGTTTTGCTACTGGGGCCTACTCGGTTTGCCGGAACCTCTGTGAGTTAGTGCATGCCCTGGAGGGACTGCGCTGCTGGCCTGTAGCCCTGTGTTCAGTTCTGTGCCCATGGCCTAGCTATAGAGGGTGCTGTTGTATGTGACTGTTAGAGGTAAACCTTTTCTGGCTTGACCTGGACTAGATGCAATTGTTGTTACAAATGTTTCTAGAAAGGATGCAGCCTTTCTACTTACTAGTTTAAAGCGCTATCAGTTATTTCCTGTTTTTAGGTGCCAGTTTTACAGAGGAGCAAATCAAGGCTCAGAGAAGTGGCATGAATTGCCTGAAGTTATGGTTATGAGAGAGCTAGCCGGGCCTTTCCCCGCCACAGTGTCCCTCCTGCTCCCATGTTCCTTGTTGCCTTGTACACTTCATGATGTTCTTGAATAGCCTGTAATCACACTTCATGCGGATGTGTCCCCTTAGTTCTTGGCATAAAGATAAAGTGAATGTGCCTATCCCCCTGCTGCTGGAGGACCAGGAACTTGTGTTACTTCTATTATTTTACTTGTGTAGAGAAAGTAAAGTAATTTACATCGTTCAGTAGCCACATATTTTTTATGTTTTCTTAAGGATGAAGAGGAAGAAATCAAACTGGAGATAAATATGCTGAAAAAGTATTCTCATCATAGAAACATTGCAACATACTACGGTGCTTTCATTAAAAAGAGCCCTCCAGGACACGATGACCAGCTCTGGGTAGGTGGAAGTTCCCTGAGTGCTTGGGCTTTCCTCTTGATTGTATTATAAGGACGGCAAGAAGGGGGTGGGGAAGGGGAGGCAGCGGAGAGGGTACAGTAGCTGGTAGGTCCTAATGGCTCCCGTGGCCTGCATCTCTTCATATAGGAAATGAAGATATTTATATTTTGATGTTGATTTCACATTTCATGGTAAAAGTTGACTTTCTGTTTCAGAAATAAACAGGGTACATTCTAGAATGAATGTTACTATTAGTAAGGAAATCAGTAGCTTAAAAGCAGTACAGTAAATACTTTATGGGAACCAATTAATACGAAAGCTCAATAAATTGCACCTTTCCTTGCCACCTGGAAGTAAGAGACAGATTTCAAGAAACAAGCTTCTGTCAGTAACTTATCAATAATGTTAATGAAAATAGTTACTTATAAACAGTAAATTCCAGAAAAATTTTTGGAATTGACATATTCACCCTTATCTCTTTTTGAACACATCCAAGATGATCTCAAAATACTACTTTCAGATCTATGGTAATCACATTCGTTATGCTCAAGGTATTGACCTCATAGTAGGAAGATGGATTAGTTCTTTTGCTATGGTAATGTTCTTTTAAAATGGCCATTATAGAAAACATTGGCAAAATTAAGTAGAACAGAAAAAAATCTACCCTTATTAACCATTGCCCAAATCCAGTCATAGTTAAAAGTTTAGAATGGCTCAATTCAGTTCATTTTCTAGGTATTTTAAACATAGCCTTGTGATCATATTGTTCTAAGTTTAGATATTTTAAATATTGCCATTTCCTAAAATTGTGTAACTTCTTAAAAATAGCATTTCTCTTTTGTTTTAAGCCCAGTTAATAACCAATTAGTTTGGGGATCATAAAGTGTGAAAAATAGAACATGTTTGAGGCAAAACAAGACAGGATGTTAGGTAGTACTTGAGTTAAATTTCTGGTAATTGGGCAGCGATGAAGAACAGAGTGCTCCTCCTGTGCCCACGTGCTTATGAGAGAGAATGAGCACTTCAGAGCCATTGCACTGGGGTTGGGGTCGGGGTTTGCTAGAGAAAGGCATTCTCAGTCTCCTAAACCAGACATGCCCAGTGTCTAGTTGGACACATTGGTCACATCGAACCATGAGATGAACTCTCAGTAATTTGGATTCCTCCAAAATGATCACATGCCCAGGCCTTTAGGCACGAAGTGGTCTGGCAGTTGGATGGCATTTGTCTGACTTCTCTTGTAGCTTGTTATGGAGTTCTGTGGGGCTGGATCCATTACGGACCTTGTGAAGAACACCAAAGGGAACACACTCAAAGAAGACTGGATCGCTTACATCTCCAGGGAAATCCTGAGGGTAAGACAAGCACACAGCTGCAGGCCACCCCCCCACCCCCCATGATCTCTGTGCTTCCATTTTCAGTTTCCTAGCCCCAAGTATTTCTTTGCATTGTATACATACACAGATATTCTCCATTTGACAAGCACGGGGGCTGTATCGGTAGCTAGCTTTGGTAAGTTAAACTATATCATGATTTGCCTCTGGCAAATATCTAAAGAATGTAGGCTGAAACAAAAGGAGGTGTTCTGTATATTCCTGAATTTTATCTCCCAGGCCATTGCAACAGGCCTGATGGCAACTTTCCTTTGGAGTTAAAAAGGAAATCAGAGTGGAAGGGAAGAGAAATAATCTCTAACTACTGTTTGTATAGGCATCCTCTGTATAAGCTTGAAAATTAATATTAATGGTATTGTATGCTAGTTTTCAAAATCATCCTGTGAATCTTGGCATTAGTTGTTAGAATCTGTTGCAGTATTTATGAAGAAAAGCTCTAATGTCTAATGTTATTTACAGCTGTTTGAGAGTCTGGCTAATGATCTTAGAGTTAAGTTTCTGAACTGCTGCTGTGTGCTTTTAAAAGGTTCGATTTGGTGGAACCTGACAGTGTAGGCAGAGGGCTTTTAGGATTTTGTATTTGAAAGGTCATGTGCATGACAAGTGGGTCACTCTCCTCCATTCAGCTATCACAGTTTATCTCTTCTACTTTACCCCTGAATTATACACTTAAATTACTGGTTGCATTTTATTTACCTACCACCTTTTCAAAGTAAAGACAATGGAATTAAACTGAAATCTAATTTTTCTGCTTCTCTCATTAAGAAGAAAAATCTTATAAGTAGCTAGTTCTTTTACTTTTCATCTATAAAGATATCTGTAAAGATATCCTGCTTTGTATATTTAAGTTTCATTGAGGACTGCATGTTGTAAAGACTTTCATATAGACTTCCTGGGGAAACATTTCATTTCTTTTTATTTATATATTTACAGAGCCCTTGAGAGTCTCCTTTAAGAAGACTAGGTGTGAGGTAGAGAATCGGGTGGTGGGAGAACCATCTTTTTATAATCACATGAGGGTGCTATTACTAAAATACCGGGGTCTTGTATTTTATAGTTAATTAGAAAGCAGAGCCTAAAAGTGGGAATCTAAGTGTCCTGCCTTATACCACTAGAAAGCAATTCAGTAAATAAGCAGATGAGTTTATTATGTTAATAGCTAAAACTCTTAGCATGGTAAGTAGGTAAATACCAGTGTTTAGGAAGTTGGGTTTTAGAGTGAGTTAGAGTTGGGTCTGAGTCCTGCCTTTGCTGTGTATCTGCTGCATACCAGGTTATTCGACTTTTAAGACTTACTTTCCTCTTCTGGTATTTTAGATACCAACCCTGTGAAATTAGTATTAAGAGAATTGAATGAGTTAGTGTATATTAACATTAATGTAACATGTATACATTGCTACCTAGCAGTAATTATTAGCTGTTGTCATGATTCTGTGTTATAAACACACACACCCATACCCACACACCTTCCTTGTGTATAATCCCAGTATGGGATTTCTCAAGCAGAGAACTAACTTTTAGTATAATATCCTAGGGATCAAATGTTCTTGAGACATCAAAGACATTACACGTTTTTATATATCCAGGTAAGCATTGTTTACTTACTATATATAACAGGTATATTTAATCATTTCTCATCATTCATCTCAGGCAGTATTTAAATAGAAGCCTATGTTGTTTGTGAGGCCTCTGCTCAGCTTGGGTGTGGTAGATGGGTAGACAAGTTGTTGAGATGCAGCAAGTCTTTTCCACCTGAGTGGGCATCTGAAACAAGAGCTTCCTTCACTTACATTTAACAGGGGTTTCTCCTTAGGACAAAAGTTTAAATTAAGTAAAAACAAATTCCTCAGGGAGAGTTAGTATGTCTCTTTAGTGTGTGTTTATTGTAGGGGTTACTAAGTGTTTGTTTAGGTAAAGAGGAAGCAAGATGGTAAGTTGGAGGGGAGGTCTCATGGGACAGGAAGGCAGCCCTCCCTGGCAGATAACCTGGGTTCTCGAAGGCACAGTTGTGCTAGCTATTTTCATAGTGGCAAAACTTTTCCTCATTCTTTAGTAGATGTTAGATTTAGATGTTAAGAACCTTACAAGGGTGAGGGCCATAGCATGTAGGCCTCAGATATCAGTAGGAATGCTCTCTTGGGTCAGCCCACTGAAACTCTGAACCAAAAGGTACACCAGTAAAGGCAGCCTCTGTGTGTGTGTGTGTGTGTGTGTGTGTGTATATATATATTTTTTTTTTTTTAAGCCCACTTCCATGTTTACATTCTATGCAGCAGTTTTTTCATTTCAGTACAAACTAGTACTTTCATTGAATGTGGGAACATAGAGCTTTCATAACCAACACTGAAGGACAGGCTTTGATTAGGTCCTCTGGTCCTTGTCCACAAATGAGAGAGTTGTAGGAAAAATGTTTCCCGGTTTTGAGACACTGATTTATTTGCTGTAGGGTGGGGTATTACTGAGTATTTTGACTTGGCATCTCTACTAAAGCGGAAATACTGTGGCCTAACTTTCAGTATGGGCATAGTTGGAACACACATACTCGCAGGTACTTCATACAGGAAAATGTTCTCATTGTTTAAAATAATCATAACTCAAGGCAGCATTTTCACAGAGCTGTTAGACCTACTTTCAGCTGTTTGCCATGAAGCAGCAGTGATCCTGCAGCAATGTGGACAGGGAAATGGGCCTTATTTAATACATTGACAGTTGGTAATGAGCACAATCATATGCAGGCCACATTTGTTGGAGATGTGGCTGCTTATGCTTGTTGCTAAAATAATCCTATAAAGTGTAAGGAAGTTTGTTAAAGTTAGAAAACAAAAATGAACAGAAGTACTAGAAGTAGGAGTCAGGAAAAACTTAGTGCAGCCATCTATTTTTTCTGCTTTCCTTGTGCTGTTCAAAGTTACACCACTATGATAGGAGGGACATATTTCCTAACTATAGCACCCAGGTGCCATATATTTTTAGTACTTTTTCCCCTAGTAAGCGCTTTGTGGGGTAGCACTGCACATCCTGTGTTGTGAACAATAAACAAAGCTATCAAATAAGCACTATTCTGTTTCATATGCAGACTAGTAAGTGAATGCTTAGAAAGCTTCCTGTTAGAAAAATTAGTATTCTAGAGTAGCTCTTAATTTGTATCTTATAAAGTAATGACAGTAAAACTCCACACAAAAAGTTAAACAGGAAAATTGAATAAATCCTGCCTTTTTTGGATCAAGATGTTTTAATGAAAATAGTCACTGTGTCTTAAAGAGGCATGCTATATACATTTGGCATCTCCAGCTAAGGACAGAACAAGTAAATGAGTTGTGAGAATGATGCATTGCTGTCTTTTGGTTCATATTTAGATGCAACATATGTTTTTGTTCTTCTATCACCTCTCATAAGAGACGTGCTTTTGGGCTTCATTCCAGGTATGAGGTCATCAAAAAGTAGTATAAGCCGGTAGGGTTTGTTTCCTTGGGGAAGGGAAGAAAGATATTTTATTTGAGCTCAAGGCTCCTGTGGGCAAAATTGTTTTAAAGTTGGGGTGGAAGTAGATTTGATTGGCCTTTAGCAATTTGTCATTGTGCAGTGGGAAGACTAGCCAGAATTGAAGAGCCAGATTTTAAAACCCCTCTCTAGCCCTTCACTTTTCCCCTGGGATGTGTTCAGTCCAACTATGCCCGTGGGGTCACCCTCTGAAAGATAGACATTTAGCGTGGGAACGGAACCACCCTGTACACAAATAGCACAAATTATAGCAGAGAAACTGCAGATGGTAATCTAAAGTGTGTCTTAAAGGCACAGCTAGAAAGTGGTAATGTTGGTCACATGGGGAACCTAGCCCATTGGGATGCTGTGGCTAGGAGGAACTCTTTCTGTGTGGTAGTACTGGTGATGTCTTCCTGGGGATGCTCTGAGAGTGAATTTTATGCTCTAAATTTGAGTTCACAAAAACTTTTGACCCACATGTACACTTAGTAATCAAAGGTGTATTCCTGGCTATTTATTTATAGCAACAAAGAACTAAAATTCCAATCTGTCTTTCCTGTTTAGGGATTGGCACATCTTCACATTCACCATGTGATCCACCGGGACATCAAGGGCCAGAATGTATTGCTGACTGAGAATGCAGAGGTGAAACTTGGTACGTGATGGAGGTGCAGCATAATCTCACATGTGGTACTTGGCCCTGGTGCAAACCAGCAGCACTTTCTGCCCCGGTTGTGTTTAGCCAGATGTTCAGTCTACTACCCATGTTTTCTATTTTGGTTCTACTTAAGAATATGGGGATGGGCTTACTGCTTAGCCTGGCTCCAGCCTCCCTTCTCCCATGCTTCTCCCCTCAGCTCTGTCCTCTGTACAACAGCCAGACTAATATTTAAATCACACCACTTTCCTGCTTAAAGACCCTTAGTGGCTTCCTGTTGTACTTTGAATAAAGTATATTCCTTACCCTGGCCCATTAAAAGCCCTGTAGGTCTGGCCCCTGCTGCTTTTGTCATCTCATTTTGTTACCCTCTTCTCTTCTTCCTCAAGTACTGTCACTTTTTGAACTTCTTGGAACTCATCTCAGGGTCTTTGCACACACCATGCCCTCATTGGGAATATTTGACCATAGTTTTTAAGTCATAGTTTTTTCTTCATCTTCAGGAGTCTTTTCCGACCCTCTGATCTGTCTTGGACCCTGCTGTTTATTTCCTTCATAGTATTGTTCACATTTATGAATATATGGTTATTTGTTTACTTGTATTTTTGTCTCCTTTACCAGAATGTAAGTTCTGGAAATGCAGCAACTGGAATTTTTTTTCGCCAGTGTATTCTTATCTAGTACTTAGCATTGTAGGAATGTCCACCCTGTGGCCTGAGGGCCACATGCTGATTTTGTGAGACCTTTTTTTGTTTGTCTGGGGTGTCAGATATCATAGAAGGTACGCACAGAGCTTTCTTTTTTTTTTTTTTCCTTCTAATCAGTGTTCATTTTTGTTTGTATATTTAATGTATGGTCTAAGACAACTCTTATTTTTCCAATGTATGGCAGAGAATAAAAATGGTTGGATACCCCTGCATGAATGACTTCTTTGTCAGATTTCTGCAGCCCATTATGTAATTCCTGAAGATGATTTTACAATGGTTCTCTTACATTTCCTATTTCCTTAAGCTGGACCTGAACTTGTTCTCATTCTACTTCTATATTATATAATGGGTCTGTCAACGTTTTAAACAGCATTAATTTTTCTTCCACTAAGGCATCACAAGAAAAAATTCTTAATGTTAATATGGATCTAATCTACTTTAGTTTCAAAAATTATGGTCACTGTAATTGTATTTTAAAGATAAAATCATTACCATTGCTTTCCTTGCATAGTGCCTGCACTTCATAGTCTTCTGTGGAAGAATAGTCTGCCCACTTAGAAACTCCCCTCAAAGATAAGATAGGAGGCACTTGAGTTGTTCTTATCTCCAGCTCCTCAGCCTTGGCCCGTGAGAGTCCCTGAGGAATCAGGGTCTGTTGCCCTTGCCTTCCAAATTGCTGTGGAGCGTGCAGAGGCTTTCCGAACTGACTGTATGACTGGTGTATCTCTCTCAAGAGGAGGATTCAGCAAATGAGTCCACACCTTACCCAGGTTGTTTCCCAAGCATGTCTTGTACACAGAAGTTGAATCTGCAACCCATGTAAATCATTTCAACACTTCAAAGGCCCTTTTGCACAAAGTCCCCGTCCTTGCACATTCCTGCTAAGGCAGTGGCACTATGTATAGTGATGATGTTGACAGGTACTGATGGGCAAACGTTCCATTAGATTGTGGACTTTCTGCCAACTCTACTTCCATTCATCCTAAACTTTGCTCTAGACTACCATCATTTTAAAATTGGATGGCATGTAGAAATCACTCTGAAAAATCAGCAGTAGTCCCAAGTGCTGTGTTTGGGTGTTTTTCATGTATTTGTGATTTAGCTTGGTTCTCTTTATTTAATGCAGTACTGTGTTCTGTCAAAACCTTTGTGGATGTCTTTTCTTTATATGGTTTTTAGCTCCATTAAGAAGCTTAGTCCAGTGGGCTTTTGTCTGTGGGAGGCATATTCTCTGAAAGCACTGAAGATCATGGTTCATTCAAAAGGCCCTCTGCTGGTGTCTGTTGGGGAAGCTCAGGAAGGCTGCTGGGTCCCGGCCTCCCAGGAGCTTCCATTCTAGTAGAAGGTCTCGTAGTCTTGGTGGCTTGGCTCCATAAAGGACACTAATTTCTGATGCCGCCTGCCTTGAGGATTGCATGTTCATGAAGCATTCTGTTTCAGTTGACTACAGAGATACTGCCTCCTTCCCTCCCCCTCTCATTACATTTTGTTTGTTAATTGCATTCCACTTAACCTTTCTTTCTCTTCCTCCTGCAGTTGATTTTGGTGTGAGTGCACAGCTGGACAGGACGGTAGGGCGGAGAAACACATTCATAGGCACTCCCTACTGGATGGCTCCCGAGGTCATTGCCTGTGATGAGAACCCAGATGCCACCTATGACTACAGGGTGAGCGGCACCTGCTCTGTGGGCCTTTGCTGGGCCACTGACATTCCTGCGGGATGAGGGCTTTCCTTACAGATTTTTTTTTTTTTTTGGTAGAGACAGTCTCACTTTATTGTCCTTGGTAGAGTGCCGTGGCATCACAGCTCATAGCAACCTCCAACTCCTGGGCTTAGGTGATTCTCTTGCCTTAGCCTCTTGAGTAACTGGGACTACAGGCCCCCGCCACAATGCCTAGCTATTTTTTTGTTGCAGTTCAGCTGAGGCTGGGTTTGAACCCGCCACCCTCGGCATATGGGGCCGGCACCCTACCCACTGAGCCACAGGCGCTGCCCCCTTTCCTTACAGATTGTACACCCCTCATCCCTGACTGCTCTTGCCATGAATAAGTCACGGCTATACTATGGCATATGCAAATGTCCCAGGAAAGTGTTCAGATGCTGCCTGTTTTGTCCATTTGTATCACCTGCGTTCTCACTGAGAAATATACTGATTTCAAGATAGTTTGGAGCACTTTCTTATGCTTAGAACTTTCATCATGAATGAGCAAATAAAACAGACAAAAAGACCTGCCCCTCATATAACTTATAGTTGAGTAGGGAATAAAGTTTAAATCAAATGTTTCTGCCCCTGTTTGCTACCATTTTTAAACATTAAGACTGTATTAGAATCAAATATTTATTCCTTTTAAAATTTTGTTAATATATAGAAATAACTTCATTTATGCAAAATTTTAGAGATGTTAAAGAGCTTTATAGTTTTGATTGAGTATGCAGATGTATTTAAGTTATTAGAGTGACCTCTAGGGACTTGAATCAGTAATGCACTTTTTTGATTCAGGTGTAAAATCCATGTTTGATAATCAGACACAGGTTGACTATATGTACAAAAACTATTAAAAACAAAAACTTTAATTAAATGAGCCAGAGTGGTTAATGTATGTGTTAATGATTTTCAAAATTGAGTTCATGTCTTAATAGTCTCCAATGTATTTTAGTATTTATTATAAATACCTAATTAGGCTTAATGTAAGCTTACCATGAAAAGGAATTTTTATGTTATGTTTTAATATATTGAAGTATTTTAAAATAGATTATATACCTTATGACTTTCTACTATTTTTTATGTTGTTAAATATCTCTAAAATTGAAAACATTTCCAACCTCCCCCCAATTCCATTATACCTAAAGAAAAAGAAGTTATTTTTTACTTCTTAACATAAAGTGCATAATTAGACCCAGCTGGTTTGTCCAAATCAGTGTCTAGTACAGGAAAAAATACCATTAGGTTGCTTGGTCTTTGAGTGTCTTTCAGTCTAGATTGCCACCTTCCCATCCCTTTTATGAAAGTATGACTTGCTGAAGAGGATGGACCTGTTCTAAAAGGTCCTGTGCTCTGTATTTGTCTGATTACTTCTTTGTAATGTCGCTGAGCCTGTTTCCCCTAAATGGAAAGGTTCAACTATTATCAAGGAAAACCTTAGAAGGTCATCTCACAGCAGATAAGGGGTACCTTGCTTGCCTCACACCAGGGGACCTACAGCACCTCGCATCCCACACTGCTGTTCCTTAGAGCAGTTACTGGGTTAAGGAGGCAGACCCCTTTGTACCCCTGCAATATGGACAACTTCATAGAAATAAGGGAGGAATTCATAGCCTTACCTATCCTTATTTTTGTATTCAATCATATTTGCCTAAACTTTTAAAGATATTTATAGGTTATATAGAAAACTCTTAAACTGAAAAACTTTAGGTAGTTTCTTGGTTAGGATAATATACAAACAAAAGTATACTAATGATGATAACTAACTTTACTTTCTAAAAATCTTTTTTGGACTTAAAGGAAATATTCATTGATAAGACTTTCTTTCATCAGCCAATATTTATTATAGAGTGTCTCCCAGATACAAAAGCAAATAAAACAGACAAAAATGTCTGTCTTCATATAACTTATATTTGAGTAGTAAGTAAAATTGAAATCAAATTTTAAATTTACTGTCTCAGGAGGATCAGAGAAAATTCCATGCAGAGAAAGTTTATTTATTTGGTTGAAGGTAGAGAATTGCACTCAACAGCATGTTTTGAATTAGTAAACTATGGTAGATTTTCTGATTCCAGTTGTGAACATTTTGTAAGGATTGCTTTCTGGCCTTTAAACTTTTCACATCCTGGAATTAAGTTTGAGATATAAATGTAAAACATAAAAACAAACATAAATCTGGGCTAGGAATCTTAAGTGATTGAGTGCTTGTAAGGAAATGGAGAAACGTATCAGTAGTAAACTGATGATTCACCAGCAGGTAGAGACAGGCTTTTTATTTTTTTATTTTTTTATCACAGCTCACAGCAACCTCCAACTCCTGGGCTTAGGTGATTCTCTTGCCTCAGCTTCCCAAGTAGCTAGGACTACAGGTGCCCGCCACAACGCCTGGCTATTTTTTGTTGCATTTTGGCCAGGGCTGGGTTTGAACCTACCACCCTCGGTATATGGGGCCAGCACCCTACCCACTGAGCCACAGGTGCTGTCCATAGAGACAGGTTTTTAAATGGACCATCTCTAGTTTGTTTGCAAATGTGGGTCTTTTTAATAAACATATAAATTTTATCTTTATTTTGTCATTCATTTATTTGTGTTCATACAAATATGTTTGTGCTTTTAATTTCCTGGTGTACTTTCTTCTGACTTACATAGCAAAGAAAGTTTTTATGTTATTTGTGGCAATAGCCAGAAATGTAAGTTGATGGCTTCATAGCAAACGTGGTGTCTATAACATACTGTTTTATTTTTGCAGAGTGACCTTTGGTCTTGTGGCATTACAGCCATTGAGATGGCAGAAGGTGCTCCCCGTAAGTTAACTTTCTATCCTTTTTAGCCTCAAGACTTCAAAAGGAACAGCTTCATGGATAAAGCCATTTCTGATGAGCCATTTAGATGACGGAATTATAAATACAGTAAAGTTTTAGATGTAAAAGGAATTCTTGGCAAATACTATTTCTCTTGGAGATCCCTAGAGGTCTTACAGGCTACATTTTCCTTTTAAGTTGTATTCATATGTGTGGCCTGAAAGTACACTGATATGCAATAATAATTTTTCTTTTTACAATTTAAACTTATTCAGTGAAATGGGTTCTATTACATGACATTTTAGTAGTACTTAAGTTTTGACTGTACAAATGGAGGCATAACTTTTTATCTATAGAAAATTTTTTTTTGCTTATTACCTGTGGAATTTTGTAAGAGCGCTGCTTCTTTGGATTAAATCCATGAAAACTTGATAAAATTGATTTTTGATCAGGAACAGAGTAAAATTGTAGAGAACAAAAGAAAAAGCTAGCATTTTCTGCTAGTTCCCTTAAAAAAAGGTGTACACTAAGAATGTATAACTGCCTCATATAGAGTTGCTGCTGAAATAAATATTTGTTGAATGAATGAAAAACATTTATTGACAGCCATAATTTAGTTTGGATTACAGAAATGTATGTCTGCCTTGAACCCTGAACATTCTCTCATGTAGCCCTATACAGAATTGAGACAGGGTTGTCTTGCTTGATCCTCTCGCAGCTTTCATTCACAGTGGGAGTAGTATTGTCTGCTTCCCTACCTCCCATTCCCCAGAAATAGTTTCTGTAATATTCTCTTGAAGGTAAAGAAACATGAAAATGCACATTGCCTCTGGTGACATCTTAGTGCTTATGATAGGAGAATAAATAGTAATTGCCCAGAAATAAACAATCCATTTTACACTCACAATTTTTCTTTTTGTATTAGCTATAACAACAAATAGTTAACATTTCTGAAGGGCCTAGTTGTGCTTATTCTGTTCTAGGCATTGTGTGAAGGCCTTCACAAGCTGTATATTACTTAATCCATGCAACAGCCCTATGAAAATGCAGTAATTTTCCTCGTAATCTTACAGATGGTTTAAAAACTTCAGCATTCATTCCTTTAAGACTTTGATTTATGAAAACTTTCCAGTATCTACGCGGAGTTGTGTGCTGTTCTTTTTGCTCTTAGTCTTCTGTTTGCTATTTTTAAATGGGAAATTCAAGGTGTGCCCTAAAGTTTAAACTAACTAGACTGGATGATATGAAGCATATTGGTCAGGTGCTGGGCCCGATCATTTGATGTGAATGTTGTAAGCGAGCCCTACAAATCAAGACTGAGTCAAATAAGTGCGATACTGACACGACCGTCTCCTCTCCCCAGCTCTCTGTGACATGCATCCAATGAGAGCACTGTTTCTCATTCCCAGAAACCCTCCTCCCCGGCTGAAGTCAAAAAAATGGTAAGCTATATATGCTTTTTGTTGCTGTTGTTCCTTTCCTTTAAAAAAAAATGTTTCTTTTTAGTTTTACTTTCCTCTTGAGACAAAATTCTGGCTCTTCTAATTCTGAAGAACATAAGAATCAGTACCCTAAAACGCCAATTAAAGAATGCAATGCACTAATGAAATTTTTTCTTGGTAAACTCTCTTTGAATTACAGTGGTGACAAGTATACACCATAACATGGTTAAAGAAGAAAGTTCTATTTTAATATTTAAACATTCTTTTATTGTAATATATTTCTAAACATCTTTCCACTAAAAAAGCAAAGCTGTGTTGACTTGAAATTCCTCAAGTAAAATAGTATTTTTAAATTAATGGGGAGCTTTTTACTGTAATTATTTTTTAAAAAATTTGGACTTAGACATATCTGTTTTTATTCCAGAAGAGCACATTAGCAGGATGTTCCTCTCTCCTTGAGTTACACCTTCCTATCTTCTTGTAACTTACGCATTTGTTGAACAAAATACTGGTACACTTGGAGAGAGAGGATAGCCACCTTCCCAGAGGAAAGCTTTTAGAATTCATGCACTGTGTGAATGTGCTGTTGGGGTTGGCTTACAAATCAAAATTTTGCTCACTCAATTCCTCCTGAACTGGTTTCCTGGGTCTTTTACTGTTTGTTCTTGTCCCTACTCAATCTTCCACATTCACGGGTCTCTTCTCCTTCCTTTGTTCCTCTTTCTCTTTTCTTGGGCTTATCTTATTGTTGGTCACCGATGGTTTTTTTCTTTTTGAAACCATTCTTAGTAGTTTTTTAAGTTTCTTTCTTTTTCTTTTTTTTTGGAGACACAGTCTGGGCTGGAGTGTGGTGGAATCATCATAGCTCACTGCACCCCTAAACTCCTGGGCTTAAGTGATCCTTCTGCCTCACCCCTCAGCCTCCCAGGTAGCTGGAAATAAAGGGGCACACCACCACATTTTTATGTTTTTGTAGCGACAGGAGTCTCAATATGTTACTCAGTTTGGTCTTGAATTGCTGGCCTCAAGAAATCCTGTTGCTTCAGCTTCCCAAAGTGCTGGAATTACAGGCATACCTGGCTGTCCAGTTTCTTAACTCTTCTGAGATAGGCAGAAGATCTCAATGTTAAGCTGTCCATTCTAGATTTTAGGCTTAATGACTGTTTCTATCTGCTCTTTTTGTTGTTGTTGTTGTTGTTGACCTTCTGGTGTTTTGCAGTTTCCTTTTCCCTTTTATAGACGTGCATACGCACGCATTTTCCTTCGTGCTCTCCCCTATTCCTTGCTGTCCCTGCCCCCCAAATTTTTAACATCCTTTCCTCACCTTTTTTTGCTAGCACGATTTTTCCCTTTTTTATATACTAACTTGAGCCACATTTGATTCCAGATAACTGAGGTTGTCTAATTCCGTTTACCCGTGTTTAAAGGGATTCTTACTGTCACACAGTTGCAAAGATTCTAGCCCCAGTTGATCTCTTTGTTAAGACGTGACAGCTCTGGATACCCATGGGGGGTTCCCCCTAGGGAAACCAGGTGGGTATAGCAGATATCACCCAGAAGTAGGCTAGGGGGCTGAAGTAACTCATTATCTAGCTCATGGTAAACTAAGCATTCACTCCTTTCCCCCTTTCTTTTTCTCTATTGGATTTTGTTGACATAAGTCTTCACTGGTCTTTAAACTTGAAGAGATGCTACTTCATTTTATATCACTGTTCTTGTTAACCCAAATACTCCAAAGGAATGAAATGATTACAGACATAACATCCTTCCTTTGTGATTGCTGTCCTCCAACTGCTAGATGTAAATTTCTACTACTGTTTTTGGAGAAGCGGCTTTCAAAAGATGATCTATGTCATCTCTTCCAATAGAACCTGATTAGTGATTTTAAAGAATATACTATGGGTCATTGATTTCCAAATGTTAGTCTGTTGACGCAGTACATAGTAATCCCTTTGGAATCTTTTAATTTAGGGTTCTAGCCCCAAAGTTTCTAGTCTGGACAGTGACTCAGGTATTTGTATTTTTAAAGAACTCCCTTAAGTGATCTTTGTGAGCACTAGGGTTTAGGACTCTCTGTGTCAGAGCATTTCACTATTCATGTTTCCTCATTAAACACAGAATACAGTAATAGCTGCTTCAAATGACTTTGGTCTTCTCTAAGCTACCCTGCACTATTTTTCTATTATTTTCTATTTTTCACGTTAACCTCAGAAAGTGATTCTTACTCTTTTGACACTTTTCTACCTTTGTTCATGTTATTTTTCACTCTGGAATGCTGTCTTTTCTCTTCTACCCTAGGAATATCAAATATTCTACTTTTCCTTGGTGTCCAACTCACTGTAATAGTTGTGGGTTTTCCCCCATTTATAATTTGATTATACTTCTGCTATTGTGTACCTAAATTTCCTCTGCTCTACTGCCAATGTGTATTTCTCATAGAGCCAAACATAGACAAATGCAGTTAGTTGATAAATAAATATTTATTGACTTGAGAAAAATAGTTAAGTTTTAATGGGAATATAAGACAACAGAAGTGACTAGATGAATTTTACAAATCCCATTTTAAAAGACTGAATACTTCATTCATTCAACAAAAATTTATTACATACATATTGTGGTATGCCATACTTAGTGTTGAGCACTGGTGGTAGAATGAAAAATAGATACCAATTGTTGACTTGTAGGGGCCCAGAAACATAACAAAGTGCACAGTTCATTAAAAGTCTATTAAAACTGATAACCCTTGGTTCAGCCCCCATAGTTCACTGGTTAGGGTGCCAGCCACATATACCAGGGCTGGAGGGTTCGAACCTGGCCTGGAACTGCTAAACAACAATGACAACTACAACAAAAACATAGCCGGACATTGTGGTGGGCACCTGTAGTCCCAGCTACTTGGGAAGCTGAGGCAAGAGAATCACTTAAGCCCACGAGTTTGAGGTTACTCTGAGCTGTGACTCCATAGCACTCTATCCCATGCTACACAGTAAGACACTGTCTCAAAAAGACAACAACAACAACAAACCTGATAACCCTAGGAGAAAGACTTTAAGTTGGTGCATGAACGCCAGAAGAAAGATTCTAACTTGCAGCAACGTATAGGGTGGAATGTTGCCAGTAAGGTTTATCAAACTGATGATTCCTGAGATGAGTCTCACAAGATAGGGTGGGTGGAAGCATCTCAACCTGTGCTAGGACTGAGGTCATCATGAACTAGGCTTGGAGAAACAAGCAAGAGTGAAAGTGGCTCGTATGGCAAATGTAAGTGACAGGCTCATTGCGCCCCTAAATACTAAAATTTCTACATTTGTATGTCAAACATAAGACCTTGACATTGAAATGTCAAATTAACAGGTTTGAGAGTCCCCAGCATTTAGTTATGGATTTACCTCCTTTTCTTATCCCAATGTCTGTCCTTTTTTTTTTTTTTTTAAAGATACCAGGCATATTTCCTCCTCTCTGTCTGCCCTCATTTCAGCAGAGACGTAGCTCTTCGTCCACTCTTGTGATTAAAAACCAATTTTAACTTAAATCTTTCTTCATAGCTCCCTATTTGTGGTGTGTAAACAGCAGACAGTGAAGTGCTTAACCTGTGCTGAATGAATGCTCCCAATCCCCAGGTCCTGAGTTCCTTTCTGTGTTCCACATGTGCATTTGTAGAATGTTCACAGTGAATTCTGAAGCTATCTTTAAGTTACGGATACTTTGGAGCTTTTTACTCTTTGTTGTAGAAATTTGATGGTGGTTTTTTTTTTTTTTTAACTTCTTTTAACAGGTCAAAGAAATTTTTTAGTTTTATAGAAGGGTGCCTGGTGAAGAACTACATGCAGCGGCCCTCCACAGAGCAGCTTTTAAAACATCCCTTTATAAGGGACCAACCAAATGAAAGGCAAGTTAGAATCCAGCTTAAGGATCATATAGATCGGACGAGAAAGAAGAGAGGAGAAAAAGGTATAAAACCTGTTTCTGTGTTCCTTCTTTTACATTTTTAGTTTTAGGTTCTTCTCAGCTAGAACGGGTTATTCTTTTCGCAGTTGTGAGTTTGTGCTCATTTGGCCGGGGCTTCAGGAGTTTGTCTCTGCCATGCAGTTCAGGGATCAGGCCTAGAGACCAGTGGCTCCTTGTCTTACTTCATCATGCATGTGTTCCTTGGGTACTTCCCTTGGAGGTTATTGAGCCCCTGCTGTGGACATCAGCATCAGGGTGTTCCTCAGTGTCACTCTCCTGCTTGAAGAACTGCCTTCCTTCAACCTCCCAGGATTGCTTCCTGCTTTCCTCCCTTACGGGGTGTGGTTAGGCCTGGGCCACAAGTGTGCTCTTGTGCTGATTACTGACGTTTCCTTTCTGTCCTTAGTATCCTTGTTTTATATCTTTACGCATACTGTACCCGTGTACCCTGAAGGCCACCTTGTTTTCCTTCAGTCTAGCAAGGTGCTGTTCAAGCTTCATTAGCATCTTTTCTCAGCCGCCTTCTCTAAGGCTGCTACTTCCTGTTGCTTTTTGTGTTTTGTGGATCCTTGTGGTAACTTTATAGAACAATGTTTGGCTAACTGGCATCTTGGTAATGAACTTTTCCCAGGCACTCAAATTTTAAGGCCAAAGAAGAAACAAAAATGGAAGTTCAAGGCAATGAAAGAGTTAGTCAGAGTCATTCTGGAGGCCTGTATTGAGTTTTTTGCATGTTCATTGGAGTCTTACACAACTTAAGTTTATTTGTAGTATTCATCATTGCTCCAAATAACTTCTCTTCTCTGATTTATTGTCATAACTAAGCTTTGTATAGTAAACTATGCATTTGTTATGAACCAAAATAAATACTGAAGCAAGACTTTTTCCCCCTTAACTCTTACTTGATGACGTGGTAATCCTATTTTGGGAAATAAATTATTTGCAAATTGGATCATTTTCCCCTTATTTTACTTAGTGTAGCTAACATTTGTGGGACACTTGCTGTGTGCCAAGTATCTGCTACATACTTAGCCTGGGTCAGCTCACACATTCCTCAGTATTTGTATTTTGCAGATGGAAACAGCAAAGCATCTTCCCTTGTTTTAATCTTCAAGTCATAGTGACCTCTTTATTTTTCTGGATTCTCCTTACAAACACCCTTAACCTCTTGTCTGTAATTAGTATTAATAGTGTATAGTATAAAATTTTAGACATAGTGGAGTACCTATTTAAAGGATTCCAAAGATTCTTTAGGTTGGAATTTCTCTTAGAAATTAGCATATATCTGTCTGCTATGATGGCATATCTTTTAAAATCTATATATATCTATATGTCTGTTAAAATTGTGTAGCTTCTTTTGATTATCTTTCACAGAGAAGAAATAATACCATATGTATACACTGATAGATTTGTCCTGAATTATGTGTGCTCAGATTCATTTTTCTTAGCAGGATTTCATCTTCTATATCTGAAAAAAAATTAAAATGTATTTTTTGTTTGTGAGTAGACTTTGTTTTTTAAAATCTGTGCTAGCTGCTCTCTGGACTGAAATTACTCACTTTTAAGTTGGATACTGACATTAAGTGAGGGGACCAATAAAATTGTCTGTTACTTTTGGGAAAATAGTATAAAACCTGTAGAAATGAAAATGAGTTACTCATGTTGAAACTTTTGTTTGAAGTTTGCTCTAAATAGAACAATTTTTTTTTTTATATTTAACCAGAGTCAATGCAGATGTAGAACAAGTTTTGTTTCATTCTTCTTAGTTTTCTCCTGTTGGAATTTCTGGTAATATTTTAGTTTGTAGTTTTTTGTTTGTTTGTTTGTTTGTTTCTTGCTATAGTTACCTACGTAATGCTTCACTTTTTGTCCATCTATTAGGTTTTTCTTTCTCTTGCACTTTCTCTGGTTTCCCTAGTTGCTGAAGATAACCAAATAAATTGTCTGGGTTATCATAGTGTCAGCTGTTACATCTCTCTCTTTTGAATTGTGGTATCAAAATAGACTTCTGTGAATTTGCTGGTGTTCTTGGGCCACTTTTCCTGTATGCCAGGGACTCTGGAGCCCCTCTCATAATCCTGCATCCCCTCAGCAATGAATGCATCCTGTTAAGAGATTATTTTGAATGTTCCAGAATTGGGTATTCTATGGGGTGTAAGTCTAGCTCAGGGAATTGCCACTGATCAGTATGGAATTTGCTATGTCACCCCTCCTTGCCAAGTTCTCCCATATAAGGAGCTGTTTATACAAGGAACAGTTTGTATATTTTTCGCTATAATGCTCTTAGAGATGCTTGTCTGAACAAGTAGGTGTCAGGAGTTGTGAACTGTCCTATTTATCTTGTCTTTTTCTCCATAGATGAAACTGAGTATGAGTACAGTGGGAGTGAGGAGGAAGAGGAGGAAGTGCCTGAACAGGAAGGAGAGCCAAGGTAACCACAGAACCACTGTCTAGCATCCTGCTTGTTGGAGAGATTTAACTTCTGTCAGGATGTCAGAAGACTCCTGGGTAGTAGAAGGCATCTTAAATTACTTTGAAAGTGCCTTACTATCTCCCATTCCTCTCTATTCTCAGATAGATTCCTATAAATGTTTTTCTTCTTTAGATCCTCGTACCCAGTGGTGCTTTGCCAAGGATTGCATTGTGTCACCTCTCCATGTCACTTAGAAGGGTTGAAGGCTGGGTGGGGGAGGTTACCCTGGCAGTTTTCTGCTCCAGGAGGCATGTATGGTAAAGGTCTTCTAATGTGTAGAAGATTCCTACACAGAGAACAGGTCTGCCAAGGGGCCAGCAGGACCTCTATTGGAGAACTGTAGTTTTTCTGATAACGTTCTTTGTTTTCACTCTTTCCACAAATGTGCTTACCACCGTTTGATTTCGCTCATTAGAGTACGTTTGCCTGAATCCATTTTATGTTGTGTGTTTCGGTTTATCTGTACCTTTTCAAGGTATAGGAAAGCAGAAGGTTGAGGAGTTCAAACTGATAGCTTGAACCTCCTAACAACTGATTAATCAGAAAATAGAGGATTTTTGGATTTTACTAATGGGATTGCCTGGCAGGCGTTCATGCAGCAGCTGTATGTGGCTGATCAGTGAAACAAAAGTATGCTCAGAGGGGTGTTGAGAGGCCTGTGGGGAGTCACTTGTCAGAGAATGGGGTTTTGAAGAAAGAAAAGAAAATTTGGTAAAGAAACTCCATAGTATCTTTTTCTTCTTAGAGATTTTAATCCATTTTAGACTAAAAATTTATAGGAATTTGAGCTGATTTCATGAGCAATATAATTACAGTAGAACCTCCCTGCACTGACCATCTCCTTATGTTGACCTAATCTTCATAGACTGGGCATGCAACACATGTACGTATCAGTACAGTGAGCCTAGTTCCTTATGTTGATCACCTCTGTATCTTATAGTCCCTGGGGTGGTTCACTTACAAAGGAGCCCCTGTATTTTTGAAAAGGAGGCAATTTAAAGAGATTTGTTTGCCCTGTTATTCTAAGTGGAGAAGTAACTCTTAGTAGGGAGACCAGCTAGGAAGGATGCTGTTTAAGCAGTCTGCGCAATGGCTAATTCATGGGACCCACTTGAGCCCAGCCGCTGACTCTAGCAAAGTAGGTTATAGAAGTACATGACCAGGCTTGGTGGTTGACCAGATGAGGAGGAAGAAACAGTAAGTACTGAAAAAGTGCTCTGATGTTTCTGTTTACTACAGGAAAATAAGGTGGGTAGAGAAGAACTAGTGAAGTAAACAAAGGTGATTTCTTTTGTTTTATAGAGTGTAAATTGTTGTGAGAATCATAAATAGAAATGTCTTATTAAGCAACATCTAGGATAGAATTTTTATTCACTAAATGAATAAAAGAAGATACGTAACTATTGATTGTAGACACAGCCATTTCTTTGGATATATTAGTTGTCTTCCTGGCCACGGAGGAGCTCAGAACAGATGTAGAAGGGGAATAGGATACTGGTGCTGCTGTCTCACTTACAGGACAGCGTGCTCTGTACTCGCCCTGAGAGCCCTGCTTCCTCCTGCAGTTCCATTGTTAACGTGCCTGGTGAGTCTACTCTTCGTCGGGATTTCCTGAGGCTGCAGCAGGAGAACAAGGAACGTTCTGAGGCTCTTCGGAGACAACAGTTACTGCAGGAGCAACAGCTCCGGGAGCAGGAGGAATATAAAAGGCAGCTGCTAGCCGAGAGACAGAAACGGATCGAGCAGCAGAAAGAACAGAGGCGGCGGCTGGAAGAGGTAGAAAAAGGGAAATAACCCAAGTTGGTCATTTCTTTTTCCGTATTCACATTGGTAGGCAGACACTCAAAGGAATACTCTCTTCAGCCTCTTGAGGTAATACTTAAGCGCCCGGCATAGCTGTTCATGTAGCTTCTGAAGGAAAGCTTACACTTTGTACTGGCAGGCCTTCACATTCCTGGAGGCCTTCGAAATGTTTTCCTTCCTTGTAAAAACTTTAAGGCCCTGCCCCACAGTTGCTTGTCAACATACTGTGTTAAAGGCAGTGCAGGCGTCCCAAAGATGGCATCAGACCAGTTTTGTGACGTCTGTTTCCATTGTGGTTTAAGTTGGCTTGCTCAGGCTTGACCTGATTTCAGTTTCACTCTTGGCCTCTAGGTCTCAATTTGTGTGCACAGATTTTTCTGAAACTTCAGACTATTAAAATGAAAAACATTTTAATGTTGAATGAAAAACTTGAGGGTGGACTTAAGAATACATGATTTTAATGTGGGATTAGTTATGTCCTGTGGTGGGGAAGTGTATTTTGTACTACCTGCTCCCTTAACTCATAAATGTTGTTGATGTTGATAATGTGGTTACCTACAGCTTTTCCATTTTTAATTTACAGAAATATATTATTTCCCCATACAGTCATGGGTCACTTAATGACGGGGATACATTCTGAGAAATGCATCGTTAGGCGATTTCATCTTTGTGTGAACATCATAGAGTGTACTTACACAGAGCTAGATGGTACAGCCTGCTGTGTACCTGGGCTACATGGTATGGCCTTTTGGTCCTAGGCTACAGACCTGTACCTGTTACTGTACTGAATACTGTAAGCAATTGTAACACAGTGGTAAGTATTTGTGTATCAAAACGTAGGAAAGGTACAGTAGACGCATGGTTTTGTTAATTTAATCTTAGGAGACCACTGTCATATATGCAGTCTATTGTTATGTGGTGTCTGTATTTCACCTGGGAGGGTCTTGATTTTCTTTTCTTTTCTTTTCGTTTTCTTTCTTTCTTTCTTTCTTT